ATCATACCATCGACTTTAACAATGCTGAGATAATTGACAAAGGCAACAGCCGCATTAGAAAGACGCTGGAATCCTGGCACACAGCGAAAACGGCCGAGGCCGACAACAATTCGTGCCCTCTGCCGGGACAATATAACATTCTATTTATATTCTATTTAATATATGCCATTCGCTTGTTATATTCCAAAAAAATTTTTAGGTCTATTTTATCATTTCATTTTTGTCCGTCGAAGACAGCAGACTGGCTGTTGAAAGCTCACAACTTTGAACAATTTTACCAGAGAACGTTTTTTACCTCTTTTATAATGAATCCTGGTATCGGATCTTCAATATTTGTGCGATTTGCTGTTAAATTGAAAAATTCTGAACACTTTTCAAAATATGTAATAACGGTCCATAGTGTCTCGGAAACATTTCTAAAAAATTAAATTTTACATTTAATTTTCTCTCCCTTCAGCAATTCAATATGTAAGGATGGAGGCGGGTGTAGGGGATATTTGCCTTATTGGCAAAAGCGATTCAGTTTCTGATCAAGCTACAAAAAGATCATTTCTGAATATTGAATTAACAAAAATCGTATTCTAAGAATCTAGCCAATCAAGCCTGTGTCTCCAGAGCCACATTTCACTCGTGTCAAGGTCCCGCCGGCTGAGAAGAACGGGTGGCTCTGGGGACGACAACTAGTAGTTAGATGAAGTGAGTTTCTTTCTCGGTATTAAAAGTTTTTGTTTGCAACGTCGAAATCTAAGCATCCTAATAGCGCTTGATTCCGTTCCCATGCGATCACTGGTTCCACTCCTTTTGTTTAAGGTGGTTTCGATTGACCTTGCCATTTAGCGTAGTAGGAAAGGCATCCACAAATTCTATCTGGAAAGAAATAAAAGGACAATTAATGTTGGTGTTTGTTCTTCCATATATGTCATTGAGCTACTGTCCGTGCTAGGCCAGTGTTTTACGTGTACGTGAGTATATCTATTTCTAGATGGTGATTTTGACAGTTGATTGATGGTTCCAGTTTGGGCTTTAAGAAAGGACGTGAGCAAACTTTGAGAGTCAAAATGATAAATATAAGTAAACAACTTTATGTAAGTGTCAAATGTACTAAGCACTGTTGCGCTAACTGGGGAAACTGTAAGTAAATAAACAAAGAGTTTGCAGTTAACAATAACTGACCTCCCTTGGGCTCATCCAGGCTCCTGTCTTCTTTGTCACGTAATCTTGCAGTTCCTTTATCATCTCACCTTGTTCTTTGTTCTTAAAATCACTGGACAACACGACAAATGCTTTCACTGACGTCTGCAGAATGAAGAGAATTAGATCATGTAAAAAAAAAAAAATGTATACGTGATTGGCCACTCCCCATCGGGGCTTTTCGGGACCAATGTAAACAAACAATGATAAATAAATATTCAAATAAACATAACTAGGTTAAGAATCCCAACTGGCGGGAGGCAGACCAGTTGGCTAGTTACAAGCGTAGTCGAGAAGTTGAACTCGGGGCTATCGAGAACAACATCACTAGCGGTCAGAACGGGATTTGAACCCGGGACCTACGGATTTCAAATCCGGCGCTCTAACCACTCGGCCACGCTCCCTCCCGTTCCCAAAACAAGCTTTCTTTCTCAGACAACTTGAGGAAAATCAGTTCCAGGAAGCGTGAAGAAATGGCAAAGAGTACTTTTTCGCCTCTTTGGGAATCAAATTAGCTTGTCAGACGAAATGTCTTTTAACCTTGATTCCAGTATAGATTCTTCTTATTGGTTAATTTTAGCTCCAAATAATTCTCTACCGTCGAAATGATAGGTATTTGCTATATGTCATGATCTGGTTTCAAAAGGCTTCTTGCAATGAATCCCTCTCGAACTCAAAGTTTATAATCCTTGATGTACTGGAACTTTGAAGCGAATTATCATCATTTTAACTCGAACAACAACTATTCCTGACCTGTCCAAGTGGGTCAGGACTGCTGACCACAGCACACTCCAAAACTGCTTGGTGTGAAATTAGACATTTCTCGACAATGTATGGATTTATATTGACGCTGAAAGAGAATAAAGTCTTTGAAATAAAGTCTTTCATTCGGTCGGTCGGTCGCTCACTCGCTCACTCGCTCACTCGCTCACTCGCTCACTCAGTGAGTGTCTCTGGCCAGAGGCAGGTCACGTGATCCAATGCTCACAGGCACATTCTTGTTGTCCCATTTCGCGAGCTTGCTTTGGAAAGGGCTCACATTCTAAAGACAGCCGTGAAAATAACCTCCAGGCGCTTCTTCTCCAAGATAAGTTGTTTTTGCAGGCGATAATAACGACCCAAATGTTTTTGTGTAAGTCACATCTTATTTTTGTTTCGTATAAAGCTGTGACAGAGTGTAATCTGCATTACTAACCTGTCAAATTATAAGCAATCTAAAACAAGAAGTTGTAGCAGCAAAACAAACGCTTAGATGTGCAATGCAAATGGCTTCCTAGATGAAGTCTCTACCAATTTAATATGGTCCGTATTGGAAGTAGATAAGTAAATGGATAAGTTATAGACCCTTTTCATAAATGGCTGCCAATTATAAATTCTTTTGTAAGTATTAAAATTGGCCTGACTAACCTCGTTTTTGAGTTGATAATTCAAAAGAATTTTTACTCTCAAACAAGTTTTGTGAGGCTAATTTAAATGCATACAAAAGAATTTTAAATTGGCAGCCATTTATGAAAAGGGTCAATTGGTAGCTTTTAAAGTTAAACTATAAAGGACAAAGTATATTATAAATGTTCATATTTACTCCTTACGTTCGATGTCGGTCTATTTGCAGGAAAAAACCTCGTACTATTGGCTAATCAGTACTTTTTTTTTCTTACCCGTTAACAAAGATGATGTCATCGGTTCGTCCTACAATCCAGAAGTAACCGTCTTCGTCTTTATAGCCAAGATCACCTGACCATTTATAGGATAGAAGTTTATGACTAGGATTATGTAAAGTTATGGTCAGATCATACAAGTTAACCAATGTATGTCAACTGAATATTGACCCAACATTGCTTATTCCACAGACGTCAACCCTAAAGATGAACGGGAAATGAATTCACCAACCTGTGATGTAGAAGTCTCCTGAAAAACGAGCTGCTGTTTTTTCAGCATCGTCCTGTTGATAGAAAATAGCACTTAGTAGCGACTAAGTCATCAAGAAAAAGTCATATGGTGAAAAGCATAATTTAAAATACTGTTTGGCTCAGTTGTAAGGTTTAACTCACCACATAACGACTAAACAATCCCACCGGACGATAAGGTTTCACACGGACTACAATCTTTCCAATTTTTCCTGGACACAGTTCTTGGTTGTTATCATCAATAACCTGAAATAGAAGTGGAATAGATTACGACGCGTGTGAAATTTATAGGACTAAAGCTGCATACATAATTGAAACTGGATAAATCGACGAATTCAAGCACATTAAAGTAGCGTGCCGTTTTCTTAGAGCGCAAGTAGGCATTGCAAAACGTAGCAAATCCTTTCAACCGATTGTATTGGTTCCAAAAGGCTGTGGAAAATTCAGATTTTGCCTATAATCTACGTGGTGCCAAAACATTTTTAGCGAGTGCAAATACGTCACAGACTGTACTCAAGATGTTCGCATTTTTTTTTCTTTTAAGCACCTCCCGGCAGGCAGGTAAAAAAACCACTGGCGGAGTAATACACAACTGACTGAGTAATTTACATACTGCAAGCGGTGGAATTAATGCTGTGAAGTCTGAGATACCAATAACTGGTGTTAGACTGGGAAAATGTAAAACAATTTCTGACTAATGTTTGAGTAATACTCAATAACTGTGAAATGGAGAAGAAGTAATAAACACAATTGACCTGGATAAATTAATTTTCAGTTGAACAAACGGCATGTCATGGCCGTGTTGTATTTTAAAGATAGTGGAAAGGTTTATAACTGGACTCGGTAAACGATGCCCAACGTTCCATCGACAAACGCGCCTTCTCACGTAGATGCATTCGTTATCTGCGTGTTGCATTCCTCGCAGTTTCCTAGACAGAGACGGGTAAGAAGGACTTGCATGACATTTGAGTCGCAAGACTCAAATTGACTCAATGTAAAGATGAAGTGACTGCACAACTTACTACCACATCCACGCCATGGCATGCTGGACCCACGGAACCAATTCGGTGCTCCCCATTCCTTGGTGTGCAGGTTATCGGACCCTTGAGTGAGGACGTAAAATAATTTAAATTCCAAAGATATTAGGATGCTACATTTGTGAACAACATCTCTTTATAGCATAGTCAGAAACAATATCCCTTTCGGCAAGCTGCGTTGTCCAGTCAAATTTATATTTCTAGTTATGAATGTGATTGTCCAATTAAATTGCTTGGTTAACACTTCTTGTTTACGAAAGCGTGTGTTCGCCATTTTGTTGAATAAATGGAGGATTCAAAGTTGTTTTTTTTCTCATTGTGAAAGAAGTGACAACCCTTCTTGAACAACGTGTTTAAAGTGTGGTGAGAGCGTGGGTCATTAACCGGCTAGTGAGTTAATTACCCGGGTCAACTTCAATGTTGTCCTGCTTCTGTGTCAAGGAGCAGGAAACAATTTTAACATGAAAAACGTGATTATTCTAGGAAAGTTTAAATTTCAAATACAAATTAAACACCGGTTCGTTTTGCTCATCAGCCATACTCTAGCTTCAACTGTAGCCCCCGCATATTCATAACTAACCAGTTCTGTTTGCCCATAAGCTTCTCTGAGGTCAATCCCAGTTTTTTCTTTCCATTTGAGCATGACTTCTTTGTTCATTGGTTCACCAGTTGTAATGCAACTACTTAAACTTGGAAAGTGGAAGCTTTTGAGGTCCTCTTTTACTGCACCGATGTAGATACGTGGTAAGAAGAAGACAGACGTAATGGGAAACGTTTGGAGAATTTCTAACGCTTCTCTGGCTTCTATGTCTTTGTAATGGGCAAAGATGCCTGCGCCAGCAGACCATGATGATATGGCCGAGACAAGAAGTACAGCCCAACCAGTTGAACTGTGAAACCAGCATAGATCTGACTGGATAATTCCAATCCCAGGTCTGTAGAAGACAGTCACTGAGTCAGACAAACAAAGGCAACAACTCAAGATGATGATGATGATGATGATGATGATGATGACGAACAAGAGAAAGGACAAGATGACGAACAAGAGGAAGAACCACATAAAGAACACGAACAAGCTAAGAAGAAAATGATATTTGTTTATTTTTGTCTTTTCCGCCTGTCTTTCTGTCTGTCTGTCTGTCTTCGGTCGGTCTGTCAGCATGTTTGCTACTCGAATAGTCTTGGCTTCAGAAAGTATGACCAGATTTCCGAAGGTCTGAGAACCCTTAAACGGCTTACCGTAGCCGACAAATTAATCATGTTTTAAATTACATCATGATGGTACACAAGTGTCTAAATGGGCAGGCCCCAAACTACCTAAATGAAAAATTCACGCGAAGATTTTACGAAGATCTAAGCCTGCCAAGATTCAGACTGAAAACAGGGCAGAGATTGTTCGCATTTAGGGAAGCTGCACAATGGAACACGCTTGACAAGAACTTAAAGGACATAACGGACAGCAGACTGTAAAGAGAGCTTCAATAATATGTACGTAGAGTCGAACCTCTCTAATACGTCCACTGAGGGGACAGAGCGTAGTGTCCGTATTAGAGAGGTGTCCGCATTGGGGAGATCACTATGATGACGCCATTTTTAAATCTCCACTGACAGTTTAGAGTGTCAAGTAACTAAAATCAGGCCCAAAAGTGACATTTTGACAAGTTCCTGTGTTGGTGTCAATTCGTGTGAATGTTTGTGTAACCGCCGACAGGAAATGGTGCATACCGCAAATTATCGATACCTGGTTCCCGGAGTGGCCGCAATAAAGAGGTTAAATTTGTCATGAATTTGCTCCCTAGGGCCGAGATTTAGTGTCCATTGTCCGTTTTAGAGAGGGTCCGTATTATAGGTATTTTTAGAGGAAACGTATGAGAAAGTTGTTCGGTACATAGGAAACTGTCCGTATTAGAGAGGTGTCCGTATGCAGAGGTTCGACTGTCTGTCTGTCTGTCTGTCTGTCTGTCTG